AAATATTTCAAGTTAAGTGTTTCCTCTGTAGACTATATGCCCTTGCTATACAACCAGATTATCCAGAGAGGTTGCACTGCAATCAATTACTCCAGTTGACACCAGTAAGAACAGTGCAGCAGTTCTCGAGTCAGGGCCAGTTTGTGAAAAAATGCCCACCAGCTCCCACTTTCAAATCGCCATAGTTACTACTGTCTATATAAATGTGTTTAAAGCAGGCTTGGTTAAGTCTACAATGCATATTTGAGAACACTGTACATACCTTAAGTCTTTCTGACTGCAGTGTATTCAGTTTTTATAGTACCTCTGCATACTCAGAATGGGAAGATATTTTACTTCTTCCCTATTTTTATACATTCATGACCAGTACTCTGTGCTTGGAGACCGATTGAGTTATTTCTTACTACAATGAACTTCTGTCTTCATTACAAATGGAGCCCATCACATTCAGATTTCATAGCAGCTTTTGCAACATGAAGGGAAAAAATACAGAAAATATGGTTTCCAGCAATGACAGCAGATAAACCATTAAGGGCTTCATGAAACAACATTAATTCGGTCTTTTATATGCTTGTAACTGTTGTTAGCCCAATATTGCACAACAGTGCAATGATGGCATTTCCCCAACAGTCACACTTACTAATTCTCAGAATTCATGACAAAGAAAAGAAAAAAATAAAAAAGCACCAAAACCAGAGGACATCCCAGCTTAAACAGAATATTCCTCTTCTCTGACCGTAAAAGCTTATCTCCATGATGCTTACGGCAAGTCTGTCCCTATGTATCTTTATTTTCAAGCTTCTTAACATCCATCTTTTTAACAAACCTAAAAGTGGTATTTCTTCAGGGTTTTTTTATCCAACAGCATAATGCCCAGAAGAAATTAAACCATAAAAGCCAAGGTCCTACTGACTTCCTTCACGAAGTAGGTTTCCCAATGCATCTATCATAATTGTAGAGCTTTGCACAGGTGACCTAAACCAGGACTCTCCTTCCTCAGGATTCTGTACTTTGAAATCAGTCTCAAAATTCAGCCTCTTCACCAATTCTGTATTTATGCTCCATCGATACTTCACACACCTCCTCCATGACCTACAGTAGAGCAATATTGCTAAGTGTAGAAACTATAATTCTACTTCTCATTGCAGCAGTGCAATTCCAGCTCCACTGTAGGCACTTTGTACCATGACAGGGAGCTTGATCTGCTTGAAAGCACATACAGAAAAATTTAATTTGGTTATGAGCAAGTTAAAACAAGATTTCAGCCCACTGCTTGTTGTCATGTTTCAGAGATAATCATGTATTGCTCCAAGCAGGTAAAATGGCACTTTGTCAGGACATAGGACCGAAAAAAAACCAGAGAAGAACGCTTCTATAATGTGCAGTTTCTGGTCAAACAGCAAGTGATGCCTGACTACCAGCTGCAAAGAACAATTAAATCTCTCAGCAGCGTTTACAAGAACGGTATTTGTTATGGTTGACTGCTTTCTGTTGCCATAAATGTTCCATTTCTGTCATCAGACATACCAAATATCTAAATCTGTCACCTTATTTACAATCCTGACCAGCCCACACTTTGAGTACTGACTAATCTGGTTAACGAGATTTAGTTTAGTATTGGTTTTAAAAAGAAGTGGTATGATTATTCACGTCCCCACAAACCCTGGGTTTTTCTTGAACTCTTTACTGAACTCCCATAGAAGTTAAAATGGAAGAAAAGAAAATACTTCAGCATGGCCAACAACCACTCTGGGAATCATGCACTTGCCTGGAGGTGCAGAACTCAGCCACCCTTGGCAGACTGCTACCACTGCAGTTATGGGATTAAAATGAGGGTGTGGGATCCTCTCGGCTTGGGATTTCCATGCTTATCTTACCAATCTGGACTTTGAATATTGCCAAGCCCGAAATGAGATCAGTCTGTATCCATCCTTTCATTTGTCATGTCTTTAAAGTCAAACAGTATTCACATTTATTTCAGCAATAAACCCCCAACTATTCAGAGGGGGAAGAATTATTTTGATCTCTAATAACTTTTTTCCTCTTTATATATAAATTACTTCAGCCAAAATATGCATCTGTCTTACTGTAAATGCAAATTTAATGCCACTGTAATGGACTTAAAAAAAAAAACAACAAACAATAACCAAACAAATGATAAAACCCTCAAACATTTCTTCCATTTAAGTTGTCCAGTGACATAAAGGAATAACTACCACTGTGTCACAGAGATCTTAGTCACACATTAATTTTTTTTTTCAAACAGATAAAAATATTTGATATGCCCCTCTAGGATCAGAGCTCATTATTTTCAGACAATACTGTTAATAAAATAAAATGCTGATTAATGTTTAAAAGAATCTAAAATGGGAAGAACAGTGAAAATAAAAATGGTTTTAGGCTGGAAAGTTATGTGTCATGACTGAGCCATCTAACAACCTGCTGATGTCAACAATTGGAGCATCCTGTTCTCCTCCACCACTTGGCACAGCCTCTGGCGCTTGTTAGATCCTGCACCCAGCTTATGCAGCTTGCTAACCCAGCAGAACACTAATCCAGAAAAAATAAAACCAGATCAAATATCTTTCTGCTGACCTAAAGGGAACTTTTAGGAAAGACAGAAAGAGATATTTACAAGTGACAGGACAGAGAGGAATGGATTCAACCTGAAAGAGAGTGGGGTTTAGATCAGATACCAGGAAAAAATGCTTTATTGTGAGGGTGGTGAGGCACTGGAACACGTTGCCAAGAGAGGTTGTGGATGCCCTATCCCTGGAAGTGTCTAAGGCCAGGTTGGATGGAGTTCTGAGCAACCTGGTCTAGTGGAAGGTGTCCCTGCCCATGGCAGAGGGGTTGGAACAAGATGTTCTTCAAGGTCCCTTCCAACCCAGGCCATTCCACGATTAGCAATTTTTTTTTTTCAGAGCAGTAGGAGTTCCAAGAAGTGCCAGGTCCAATTCAAGTCAATGGGGGAAGCTAACAAGTCTGGGACAGGGATGAGATGGACCTGCCTGTTTCAGCAGCAAACTGATGGCCTGGTGTAGGCATAATATTTCAGCCCAACTGTCTGTAACTTAAACTGCAACATTTTAAGAAGTTACTGCCTCCTCAGCTGAGGGCACTATGGACAGACCTGCTCCATCTCACTGCAAACAAAACTCATAGTTCAAACCCCCTCTCAGACAGATTCACAAGTCAGTCTCTTGGAAAGGTATTTTAGCCAGAGGACATTAACCTGGAGGGGATCAAGAAAGCTGGAAGAAAAAAAAAACTGTAAGGGGAAAGCTGGAAGGGAAAGCTGGAAGTGGTAACTTCTTAAAGGGTGTCAACTAGACCCGCAAAACCTGTTTGTTAGATTTCTATTTGTTCTGAATGTGAGCTGACACAAGACAATCATGCAAGACATGTTTCAGAGGGTTTCTTAGGCCCCCACCTCTTCATTCTCTGGAAGAGGGAAAGCATACATACTTTAACTCCACAGTCAGTAAAAACACACTAATTCATACTCCAATGTGGAACAGCTGGACACAGAGGGCAGTGATCACTGGCAGTAAGTGTAGTCGGAGGCCAGTAACTAGCACTGTACCCCAGGGGTCCGGTCTTGCTCAAGATCTTCCTTAATGACCTGGATGATGAAGCAGAGTTTGTACCCTCAACAAGTTTGCTGATGACACCAAAAAAGGAGTGACTGATACACCTGGTCATGTTGCCATCCAGAGGGACATATAAATGCCTGAAGGAAGGGTGCAAAGAGGACAGAGACAGGCTATTTCCAGCAGTGCCCAGTGCCAGGACCAGAGCCAGTGAGCACAAACTGAAAGACAAGAGGTTCCATCTGAATATCAGGAAAACAACGGGTGACCGAGCACTGGCACAGGTTGCCCAGCAAGGTTGTGAAGAAGAATCTTTGCTCTGCTTGAGGGCTTGGACCTCCAGGGCCCCCTTCCAACCTCAGACAGTCTGTGGTCTTGTTCTCAGTCCCTGACTGTGTCAGAGAATGGCAGCCACACAGACTGCTGTCATCCTGTAGCATGGTGAGTTCAGTTCTGGTGCAACCACAAGGTCTGGCAGAGAAACATGCTTAGTAAGCCTTAGCTCTCTCCTGTACCCTCTTAAAACATCCGACACAAGAGGTTGCAGGGTTGGTTCCATTAAGTTTTATTGTTAAATGTCTTCCCAACGTGTACAGCATGTTACACTAGCTTTTGTAGCCATTTTAATCCCCTTCAGCATCTGTGACAAATATGGAAAGGAGCCTCAGTTAAGTGGAAAATCACACCCCCAGCACTAAGGATATGACAGGGCACGCTGGGGGCAGGTGACCTTGATGAAACTGAGTTTGGAGCTCATTTGAAAAAATGCTGGTCCGAGGATTTACATAATTTACACTAGTTACTTCTTGTGTAACCAAATTTACACAGAAAGCAGTAAAAGGGATGAATGAATTGTTTGTGTGGTTAAAGATAAACTATTTCCAGCTTCATTTCAATCACTAGGTTGCATGATCCACTCTAATGGATCTCATCTCTGTGGAATTTGGTCTACAATGCACTGCTCCTATCAAATGCTCCTCCTGTTCAAATCCAGTTAATTCCCAGATGTTAAAGTAATTGCCTTCACAGTAAACACAGCCCCAAGCAACTATGATGTTAAGTTTTTCCATCTCTTTCCCACTTTGTGAAAGCAGTGATTTTTCATCTCTCTAGAAAAAGAAATCAGCCTTGGTGACCAGCTATAAATGCTGTTTTCTGCTATTTCTGCCATTCAGGCTATGTACTACTGCCCTGAGAACCAGTTCATATTGACTACCAGATAAGTTATCTACACCTCTGTCAACCTGCATTGTAAATAAGAGAAATGGCAGCTCACTTTCTTTGCCACCAATAACCATTTCCCCCATCTGCTCATGACAGTATGATATACAGTAGAAAAAAAGGCAAATATTATACAAAAGCAAAAAGGAACAAAGGCGCTCTGTAGTATAAAGCTGTGTCTCCTACCTCTGCTCGACCTTCATAATATGTTAGCATAGACTTCGTAAGTACAAAAAGCCTCTCTTTGTAGTTTAAGGGAGAAGTCCTCTTCTTCTGCTGTGATCTTTTAATCAAAATCTCTTGTAGGATAGTAGTTGTATTCATTTCAGCCCCTTGTCAGCTCTCTTTCTAGCCATTGAACATCAATTCCTGTGAAGACAAGAGGAATAAATCACTATGACATCTCTGGAGGATCAGAGAGTAGGAGATTTCTGCAGTAAAAAGAGCTTCTACTTGTAAATGAAACTGCCTGAATATACAGAAAGTTGGAGTTCACTGTCGGCATCTGGAAGTTTACAAAAGTTAATTATTAGACAAAAAAATTCAGGTTTTGCTCAGCTGAGGTCTGAACTGGCACATTCCCACGAAGCCAAAAGCTGTACGTGACTGGGATGAAATAAGGCACGCTGCAGCCCAGAAAATACAGGTGAGAAGTCTGAAATGTGCTCCAGGCAAACAGGAGTGTACCTCTGTGCTCTTTACCACAAAGTCCTAACCTGCATAAAAGTTATAATTGCTAAGGTCTGTGTACGTATACATGCCACTTGCAAAAGAGTTCTATGTATAATATTGAAGATCATAGAATATCCTGAGTTAGAAGAGACCCACAAGGATCATCAAAGTCAAACTTCTGGTTCTGCACAGGACAGCCCCAAGATCATACGATGTGCCTGAGAGTATTATCCAAACACGTCTTAAACTCAGACACGCTTGATGCTGTGACCACTTTCCTGGGGAGCCTGTGCTAGTATCCATCACTCTCAGGATGAAGAATCTAACACCCAACCTAAACCTCTCCTGACACAACTTTAGGCCATTCCCTCAGGTTCTGTCACTGGTCACCACAGAGAAGAGATCAATGCCTGCCCCTCCTCTTTCCCGCACAAGGAAGTTGTGACTGCAATGAGGTCTCTCCCCAGTCTCCTCTTCTCCAGGCTGAACAGACCAAGTCACCTCAGCCGCTCCTCATACAGCTTTCCCTCAAGGCTCTTTACCATCTTCATTGCCCTCCTTTGGATGCTTTCTAAGAATTTAATATCTTTCTTACATTGTGGCACCCAAAACTGCACACAATATTCAAGGTGAGGCCGCCCCAGTGCAGAGCAGACCAGAACAATCACCTCCCTTGACTGGCTGGTGATGCTTTGCCTGATGCCTCCCAGGACACGGTTGCCCTTCCTGGCTGCCAGGGCACTGCTGACTCATGTTAAACTTGCTATCAACCAGGACCTCCAGGTCCCTTTCCACAGTGCTGCTCTCCAGCCTCTCATTCCCCAGTCTGTATGTACATTCAGGGTTGCCCTGTCCCAGATGGAGTACCTGGCACTTGTCTTTACTAAAACTTCATACAGCAGGCGATTGCCCAGTCCTCTACTTTGTTGAGGTCTCTCTGCAGGGCCTCTCTGCCTTCAACAGCTCCTCCCAATTTAGTTATCATCAGCAAACTTTCTTAGTATACTTTCCAGTTTTGCATCCAAGTCATTTATGAAGATGTTGAAGAGCACTGGGCCTAAGATGGAGCCCTGGAGGACTCCACTAGTGACCGGTCATCAGCCTGACATAACCCCATCTACCAAAAGCCTTTGTGCCTGAGATGCATCAGTACAGTAATTTTTAAAACTCACCCCAATTATTAAGGAAAATTTTGAGACACAAATGGTAGTTTAGAAGCTTTCAATTTAAAAACAAAGAACAAACGTTTATTTTTCAAAAAATATTAAGGATATGGTCACTCAGTAACGTTAAGATGCTTTGAAGTTCTACACCATGACTGATACCTGTAGCACAGGAGTACATAAAAAAACCCTCACCCACAGTTACTTTGTTCGCAAATCTGGCTCCAGGGTCCTGCCAGAGACATTGTCAGGCAATCTCTCTGTTCTTTGCAATGATGACAGCTTAGACAGAGCCGACCTCCTCCCTCACCTGCTCACCGCCGCCCTGTCGTGCCACCCTGCCTTGTGCGGGTGCAAGCGTTCCTCCCACTGGCATGGGAAGCAGGCTAGGGAAGGGATCCAACCAGACATTTCATCACGCAGCACAGACAGCTGCCTGCATGGACTCATCAAATGAGGTGGCACAGAGGCAGGAATGAAAGGTGTGGGAGAGCCTGTGGAGAAGCTGTTCCAGAAATCCTTGTTCCCCTTTCCCTTTGTTCGCTTTCTGCCAGCTCTGCCCATGGCACCACCTGGCTAACCCGCTCATATCCCATACTCCTGCTATTTCAACAGCTGGATGTAGTTGTTCACTGCTTTAAAAAACCCTTTTCTTTCCAATGAATATTTCTGCATATGCTAAAAAAATTACTCTGCAGTTTACATGGAACTATAAAATAAGACCAGGTTACGATGCATAAGTAAAAGACTATAATTGGACTGGAAATTGTGATTGTTATCAATAATCTCTTTTTGTTATTTCTCTTCTTCTGATATGTATACACACCTACATTTTGTTGGTCATGTCATATTCCTGGGAAGAAGGCAAGATCTTTTTTAATTAGTAATCATCTTGAATACATTCATTAACTACTAAAGCTGTCCAATTCTGATTTATTGCCCTTCTAAAAATAAATTGGCAATCTTAAAGGTAATTGTGGAAGGAAAAATACTACCATAAACTGAAAATACAAACATTGTTTAAAAAATTAGAAGTCAGTATTAACTTTCACACTAGCTTAATGCACACAAACCTTTAAGGGTTCCCATCATAGGCTCTCCCACCCAAAACAATTATTCTGTTCTCAACAGTAAAAATTCTCTGCTGGCACTTAAGAAAAAAGTAATTATTATTCATCTGAGAAACTGTGATCTCAGAGATCCCTAGACTGCTGCACCAGAGAGGATAAGAGGGATTCAAAATTAACTAAGATTTCTCAATACAGATAATGCTAAAATATTTCATTTCCCATCATCCCTCTTTGGTCGTATTAACATTACACAAGAGAAAAAAATCCTTTTGACAAAATCGGGGTTAAAAAATATCAATAATGTAATTGGTCAATGTCTACACCTGTTTGCTACACTGAAATTAGCCCTGCTATGGAGATCTAAGCAGATTAGAACCAGTTTCCCAGGTCACAAGATCAGCCTTTGAATCTGCTTTTGGTCACAGAAACCTGTTTTGTTTGAAGTTTTTTCCAAGTCAGTGACTCCAGACACATTTCTGTCTCAATAAATAAAGCTCAAGACAACTGCACCCCCACCTATTATTCTGGAAATTCTCTTCTGAAATTCCAACACTTCATTAAGAAGCCCCTTTAACAGTCACCCTTACTCCTTATCAAACCCATATGTCACTGCTTTTCTTCAGTACAGTTTTAGATATTTTCTGCACATTTCCTCTCCAAACACTCCATTGTTCCCTCAGAACATGAAGCTGTTTGCGTGACACATTGTTATCTTGTTATAAACAGCTGTGGGAATTTCATGCTGACACCCATATAAACTTTTAACAGTATGACTTCTGCCAAGAACTTGCCCTGTTCCCTGCCAACCTTAGCTACATAATAACAAATATGATCTAGTTTGCAGAGATGCTGAAGACTCAGCATTATGACTGAAATCAGAAAGAGTTACAGATTCTCAGCTTTTTTTATGATGGGAAAACATTCTCAACTTTAGGTATCGAAATATCTGCATCAACTCGCACTATCTTCACGTTATACAAATATTCACCTACAGAGCCATGAAGTCACCACACACCTCTCTTAAAACAAATGAAAACAACTGTTCACATAAATCTGACAGGTCAAGATGCACAAAGTACATTTTCACTTGTAGACAGAGCTTCTTATGCATGTCACCTTTCCCAGTTTTCACTAGGGAAAATTGAGGCACTGATGTGGTAAGCTCAGGTGTTTCAACACTACCCTTATAATCTTCTGGTTCCCACTCCCACCTCCTGGATTGTGTTTGTTTATTGAAACAATTAGTCACCATAAGCCAGTGTGATGGTAAGCACCTGTAACATTCAAACAGTTCAATAAATGTATGAAAGTCCCAGTGGAAGTTCTAGTAAATAGAAAAGAGAAAGTGTATCCCAATCTGACCAGGGATTCTCTGACCCAAATGTAGTAAGTTATTGTCACTTTTATGGCACAAAGTTTTGCATCACACACAGTCATGGAGGGGTTCACAAGAAAAAAGGCACTTTGAAAAACACACATCACAACAGCCATAAAACAAACACCAACAGCAAGCATTTGTTTCTGGCTCAAAACAAAAATAAAATCAAGGTGGAACTGTTTTCTGAGTTTCAACAGTTCGTTAGTAATAATAACATTTCCCTAGGAATTTGGGTCCTTTAGTGCAAAGTCTTAATGCTAAGCTGATGGGCATTCAGGATGCTCATTCTAACAAATCAACATCCTCAGCTTTCTGACTTGGGTTTCAAGCACCCTGCACAACAGCTCTTTTCAGATTTTGGACACATCAATTCAAACCAGTAGCAATTCCAGACTTGGATATTTAACATTATTCACTAATTCAATTTTTAAAAGTACCAAAATGTTGGTTTTAAATACACAGGTGGTGCCTTGTAATTCTGACTCAAATATGTAAGTCTTTCAGAATACTTTTTCCTCCTTCATTTTAGCTAATTCAGATAAGTTTTCTGATCAAGGTCATACTGAGTCCCTGCAAATGGCTGCAGTGGGGTAAGTGAACAGGCAATACGAGCTGCTCTGGGTAGAGAGCAGAAACAGTGCAGACAGAAGGAAGAAGAAAAGGAGAACTCCTTACCCTGGTTTTTCTGATGAAGCTTCTGTTGCTTTATCACGAAACTACAAACTGAGTTACACGTGAATATTTATGCACGTAAGTATCCAGCACAGGCTTATTTGAATAATTACTACTCAGTGCAAGCAAGGGTTGCAAAATATACTCTTGTATCGTGTTTTTGCCCTACATCTAAGGTTGCAAATTCAAACTAAAAAAAAATAAAATACAACTGTTACTAATGCCTGTTTGAAAGATAAATTTCACAGAAAAACAAATACAAAAGAAATATATCTTAGCAAAATCTGTCATAATTTTGAAATTCAAATGGAGGGGGGAAATCCTGTCATAACATTTGGAAAACATCATATGCCAGAAAAAGGAGAAGTAAAAAAATACTTATATTTACTTTTTTCTCCTTTTTTTTTTTTTTTTTTTTAACAGCAGACTCTCAGAAACCCAACAAACTTCTATCATATGCAAGTTCGGATTTTTTTTAACTGAGAGAAATGCAATTTTGGGGTACTATGTTCTAATAAATTTTAAATATATACTCAAAGTTTTGCAAAAACCTCCATCTCTTTTTGAAAATCAGCCAAACAATAAATGGTTAATTTTATATCTAAGCAAACCCTACAAAAATCAGATTTATATTTGCCTGCACTAAATATATATTAACAAGTAAACAGGCTAAGGGGTAACTCAGGGACAACTCTGACTGGAGATTCTGAGATCATCATATTGAAGAATATCCTTTATTCAGCTGAAACGTACTCATGTAAGCACACAGAAGGAGTATTTTATTGCAGCTAGAACCAGTTTTCCAAAATTCCTTGGAAAGAGGCTCACTGCATTTTACAAAATACAAGCATTTGTTTCCTGTTAGCATTATAACTTAGATAGTTGGAGTAAGCAGAGAAAACAATGCTGAAAAATGATGGTCCCTCCTAGATAGGGTCAGTTGGCATCACGGTGGTTCATCACACCAGACTGGAGGATCAACTCATCAACCACTGCAAAAGAGAAGTAGAGCCGAAGCGCACAGAACAGCTCAGGAAAAGTGGTAAGAGCACCAAAAGGATTTCTTTCCCCTTACAGTGATGATTTAGGAGAATGATACGTACATGTCTCCAAATCATTTATAAACTCAGCTACTGCTCTTTCCTTGGATTTCCTGTAAGCAATACACTCCAATTACTACATTATCCTTTCACAGCTTTATAGTGCACCTTCTTCCTAGAACAATTATTTAGGAAAGGAACCTCTGTTTTATGAAACAAAAATTACATTACCATCCACGATACAGAAAATATGTTGACATGGGCATTTTTTTCTTTAAATTATTTAGCAATAACTTTGAGTTAGCAATAAAATAATGGGATACCATACAAAGGATTAACTGATTTTTCACTATCTTCATTAACTTCTTGTATTTTTATTCATTCCTCTAGAGTTGAGTACTCCTAGCTTTTCTTAGTTCTTCCACATAAAACCTCTGTAATATCTACTTGCATTGACTATTTTGCCTTAATTTTATATCACTTGTAATGTTCTTTGATGCAAGACAATAAAGCCAAAAGTTAGTCTGGGACACAAGAAAGCAAGGCACAAAAAAAGACTTTGAAACATCAATATTTGACATTACCCTTAAAAGGGAGATGGAAGGCTTTACCAGGTACAAACATTGTGGCTCAGGTTTATTTCATTCTAAATACTGTGTACAAAGCAGAGTAGACTTAATTTTCTGATGACATACAGCAGGTCTTGCCCTCTGTGGTGCCATCACCAAGACCTCAGGATGCTGCAAGGAATTTGACTGAGCTGCCCAGGTGAGGCAGAGCATAAAGAGATTTGCTTCTTCACTTGTGCAACATAAATGTCTGGTGAAGAACACTGGTTTGGTTTACTTGCACAAATATAACTGACACTCAGCTGACAGAGAAGAGGTAGAAGATAATGTAAGAACAGGAAGGGCAGGTCAGGGTCTGAACTGGGAAGAGGCATATCGTATACCATATATATTGTCCCCCTTAAATATTTATGTATCTTCTAAAGGAAACAGTCCTTTTTATTCCAGCAAGTTTTTTTCAAAGTAGTGTTAGAGAGGGAAATGGAAGAACACAGTGGCTGGAGAGTAGCCAGGTAGAGCTGGGAGTTTGGATTGATGGGAAGCTGAACATGAGCCAGAGTGTACCCAGGTAGCCAAGAAGGCCAATGACATCCTGGCCTGGATCAGGAACAGTGTGACCAGCAGGACCAGGGAAGGGATTCTTCCCCTGTACTCAGCGCTGATGAGGCCACACTTGGAGTGCTGTGTCCAGTTCTGGGCCCTTCAGTTCAGGAAGGATATTGAGGTGCTGGAGCAGGTCCAGAGAAGAGCAACAAGGCTGGTGATGGGACTCGAACACAAGTCCTATGAGGAGAGGCTGAGGGAGCTGGGGTTGTTTAGCCTGGAGAAGAGGAGGCTCAGGGGAAACCTCATCACTCTCTACAACTACCTGAGAGGAGGTTGTAGCCAAGTGGGGGTTGGTCTCTCTCCCAGGTAAGTATCAGTAAGATAAAAAGACATGGTCTTAAGCTCTGCCAGGGGAGGTTTAGGTTGGATATTAGGAAGAAATTCTTTACAGAGAGGGTAATCAGGCATTGGAATGGGCTGCCCAGGGAGGTGGTGGATTCTCTGTCCCTGGAGGTGTTTAAGATGAGACTGGATGTGGCACTTAGTGCCATGGTCTAGTAACCACAGCAGTGTTGGATCAAGGGTTGGACTTGATGATGTCAGAGGTCCTTTCCAACCCAGCTGATTCTATGATTCTATGATTCTGTGATTCTATGAACTACCTCCAAACTGACATGGCATTGGTTTGGAGGAGCAGAAGCTCCAGAAGAGCAGAGTCTATATACTTCACTTCTACACAGATCAAGGCTACTCCGCTGGTACCCCACTGGCCTATGGCACTGGGTGGACTTTTAATAAAGCAGAGCTGCTGTCTTTTTTCCAAAAATCTCCTGCCGATAAGAAGGGAAGAGAAACAGTAACACCCACTTGCTAAAGAAACAGGCAAAGATGAAATTGGCAAAGGAAATGGGCGATGCTTGTGCTAAAGCTTTTCCTACTTCTCCAGGAAGTCAGAGGTTTAGAGGGCTAGAAAAATAAAAGCTCTATTAAATCAGAGGTTGAACTAACTCTGTTTAGGAATCCTAAAGCTCACCATCAAGCAGGAGGACAATTGCTATTGTACACAAAACTGTAAATCTGAGCAAAACAAATCAAACCTTTGGGGAAGAAAAATATAAAAAAGGAAAGAGATCAACAGTGCCTGAGGCTATTCTTCTTTTTAACTATAGTAAAGGAGTCCATTTAATTCACTTTCTTCACAATTTGAGTTTGTTTTTTCAAATGTTATACAATCTCAGGTGAGCATGGGATTTATTACACAAAAAATAAGCTTGCTTGATTTTAGCATTCAAGACACTCTTTTGACATGTTCTAACTAAAAGACTGTAATACATACAAATTATGACTGGCTTGATACACAGGGAATGACTAATACTTCCTCAGTTACTTCTTTTTCCAAACACTCCAAGAACTCTTTTTTCCCTTAAACAACTACTTGTTCTCCAGCTACTAAAGAACTACTTGTTCTCCAGCTTGTAGACTACGTGGAAGTAAGAAATACCCCAATAATAAACTGGGGAATTTCTATTGAAGAAAAAGCTGTGAAGTTGACTCAGATGATGAAGTACTGGCCACATCTCACATTGACTAATGGATATATTTACCCTCAAAGTCTTCATTTTTAGGTAGTATTATAAGGTCACTTGATAAGTGTTGCTTTTTCGCACCTACTGACTAGCCCCAACAGACAGTGCTGATATATCTAAAGTTACAAGTCAGAACCCAAGGCAGCAAGTGGGAACATGAAATACTGAAAGTTCCTATTTGTCAAGTTTCCCCTGCATCGTTGTCACCAGGATATGTGCCCTCTACTACAAAACAAGCACAAGACATTGAACACAAAATGAATGACCATTCACATTTCAGCTGAGATGTTGTACTACCGTTCCCACATCTGGCAAAGCAGTGGCGTTGGCAAGGTCAGCATTCTTGTGATTCCAGAGTCTCTTACCCTTTTATGTTAGATTGATTTTGCCTGGGGTAGAGTTGAGTTTCTTCACAGTGGCTAATATGGGGCTGTGTTTTGAAATTGTGCTGATCATAGTGTTGATAATATAGAGATGGCTTTA